AACAGACTGATAAAACCTGCTATTAGGCAGTCACACAAATTATCATACATAGTAACGTGTGTAAATCACTCACCAAAATAAAGTAAAAAACTCAGTGACTTATTTTAATTGTGGTCCTTGTAATATCTTATGGAGTACAGTCTAGGGGGCCAGAGACTACAAACCTCACTCAAGGAAAAAGATCTTGGGGTGAGTATAACACCAGGCACATCTCCTGAAGCTCACATCAACCAAATAACTGCTGCAGCATATGGGCGCCTAGCAAACCTCAGAACAGCATTCCGACATCTTAATAAGGAATCATTCAGGACCCTGTACACCGTGTACGTTAGGCCCATATTGGAGTATGCGGCACCAGTTTGGAACCCACACCTAGCCAAGCACGTAAGGAAGCTAGAGAAAATGCAAAGGTTTGCAACCAGACTAGTTCAGGAACTAAGGGGCATATCCTACGAGGAGAGGTTAAGAGAAATCGACCTGACGACATTGGAGGACAGGAGGGACATACAAAATACTGAAAGGAATTGACAAGGTGGACAGAGACAGGATGTTCCAGAGATGGGACACAGCAACAAGGGGACACAGCAACAAGGGGTCACAGTTGGAAGTTGAAGACTCAGATGAACCACAGGGATGTTAGGAAGTATTTCTTCAGTCACAGAGTTGTCTGGAAGTGGAATAGTCTGGGAAGTGATGTAGTGGAGCAGGATCCATACATAGCTTAAATTAAGATGATCGGGAAGAGTGACCTAGTAGCTGCCAGGGAAAAGGCAGGGCCAGGAGCTGCTAATCGACCATCCCCCCAACCACAACTAGACGAGTACAGCAGCAGATGTGTAGAAACCCTACGATAACCCAGAAAAAAAAGGTCAGTGAGTTATTTCCACTGTAAGCCAACTGTGTGAGAAACAAGTTACAATGACAGGAGATATACAAGGAATAAGATAATCTGGGTTATATACATGAACATAAACATCACAGTAACAGGTACTTGTATGTTAGACAAAGTTAATAACAATAACAAGTTTATTTTAGTATGATATATGTTTGTACAAAGGGGTATAACAAATTGGTGAACATGCCCGAAGCCCCTTTATATGCAGGGCATTTCCGGCAAACTTAAGGCTAACTTAAGATTAATAAGGCAATAGTTTAGTTTGTTTATTCTGTACCCCATACCCATCCTGTGGGTGGTTGTCACCCCATACCCATCCTGTGGGTGGTAGTCACCCCATACCCATCCTGTGGGTGGTAGTCACACCATACCCATCCTGTGGGTGGTAGTCACCCCATACCCATCCTGTGGGTGGTAGTCAAAAGATTACAGAGGTACATAATGGGTCCAGAAACTGTGCCTCAACATTACAGAGGTACATAATGGGTCCAGGAACTGTACCTCAACATTACAGAGGTACATAATGGGTCCAGGGACTGTACCTCAACATTACAGAGGTACATAATGGGTCCAGGGACTGTACCTCAACATTACAGAGGTACATAATGGGTCCAGGAACTGTACCTCAACATTACAGAGGTACATAATGGGTCCAGGAACTGTACCTCAACATTACAGAGGTACATAATGGGTCCAGGGACTGTACCTCAACATTACAGAGGTACCTAATGGGTCCAGGGACTGTACCTCAACATTAGAGGTACATAATGGGTCCAGGAACTGTACCTCAACATTACAGAGGTACATAATGGGTCCAGGGACTGTACCTCAACATTACAGAGGTACATAATGGGTCCAGGGACTGTACCTCAACATTAGAGGTACATAATGGGTCCAGGAACTGTACCTCAACATTACAGAGGTACATAATGGGTCCAGGGACTGTACCTCAACATTACAGAGGTACATAATGGGTCCAGGGTCTGTACCTCAACATTACAGAGGTACATAATGGGTCCAGGGACTGTACCTCAACATTACAGAGGTACATAATGGGTCCAGGGACTGTACCTCAACATTACAGAGGTACATAATGGGTCCAGGAACTGTACCTCAACATTACAGAGGTACATAATGGGTCTAGGGACTGTACCTCAACATTACAGAGGTACATAATGGGTCCAGGGACTGTACCTCAACATTACAGAGGTACATAATGGGTCCAGGGACTGTACCTCAACATTACAGAGGTACATAATTGGTCCAGGGACTGTACCTCAACATTACAGAGGTACATAATGGCTCCAGGGACTGTACCACAACATTACAGAGGTACATAATGGGTCCAGGGACTGTACCACAACATTACAGAGGTACATAATGGGTCCAGGGACTGTACCTCAACATTACAGAGGTACATAATGGCTCCAGGGACTGTACCTCAACATTACAGAGGTACATAATGGCTCCAGGGACTGTACCTCAACATTACAGAAGTACATAATGGCTCCAGGGACTGTACCTCAACATTACAGAGGTACATAATGGCTCCAGGGACTGGGCCTCAAAGTTTTGATAGCTGAATAAGGTAATAACAGTTCAATAATTGTACATATGGCCATTAGGTGAGTTATAATGAATACTGAATTATTTCCATTATGATTCTACGATCTAATAATCTGTTATTTGATATGTATATGTAGGACATGCCCATCCTGTGGGTATATAGGTCGAAGAGTTACCCACACTACTGTGGGTAAGACTCGGCAGGAGATGCAACATTCCCCCAGTAACAAACAGGGGCGCTACTAGAACAGTAAGAGATAACACAGTGTCAGGGGCCCAAGACTGTTCAACTGCCTCCCAGCATACATAAGGGGGATTACCAATAGACCCCTGGCTGTCTTCAAGACCCCTGGCTGTCTTCAAGACCCCTGGCTGTCTTCAAGACCTCTGGCTGTCTTCAAGGCCCCTGGCTGTCTTCAAGACCCCTGGTTGTCTTCAAGGCCCCTGGCTGTCTTCAAGACCCCTGGCTGTCTTCAAGACCCCTGGCTGTCTTCAAGGCCCCTGGCTGTCTTCAAGGCCCCTGGCTGTCTTCAAGGCCCCTGGCTGTCTTCAAGACCCCTGGCTGTCTTCAAGACCCCTGGCTGCCTTCAAGACCCCTGGCTGTCTTCAAGAAGTCACTGGACAGACACCTAAAGTCAGCACCTGACCAGCCGGGCTGTGGTTCCTACGTCGAGTTGCGTGTAGCCAACAGTAACAGCCAGGCTGACCAGGCCCTGATCCACCATGCAGCCTGGTCACAGACCGGGCCGCGGGGGCGCTGACCCCCAGAAACACACTCCAGATATCCTCCAGGTAGGTATAAAATACGTTTGCCATTTCTTGAATGTTAAGTAGTGAACCCGCTACCTTATGTGAGGTTGATGACTCATGTTGCACGACCTATTGCATGGTGTTGCAGGGTGTTGCAATGGTGTTGCAGTGATGCAATGGTGTTGCATGGTGTTGCAATGGTGATGCAATGGTGTTGCAATGGTGATGCAATGGTGTTGCAGTGGTGATGCAATGGTATTGCAGTGGTGATGCAATTGTGATGCAATGGTGTTGTATGGTGTTGCAATGGTGTTGCATGGTGTTACAATGGTGTTGCAGGGTGTTGCACGGTGTTACAATGGTGTTGCATTGTGTTGCAATGGTGTTGCATGGTGTTACAATGGTGTTGCATGGTGTTGCAGGGTGTTGCAATGGTGTTGCATGGTGTTGCAATGGGGTTGCAGGGTGTTGCAATGGGGTTGCATGGTGTTGCAGGGTGTTGCATGGTGTTGCAATGGGGTTACATGGTGTTGCATGGTGTTGCAATGGGGTTGCATGGTGTTGCAGGGTGTTGCAATGGTGTTGCAATGGGGTTGCATGGTGTTGCACGGCGTTGCATGGTGTTGCATGGTGTTGCACGGTGTTGCATGGTGTTGCACGGTGTTGCACGGTGTTGCATGGTGTTGCATGGTGTTGCAAGGTGTTACATGGTGTTGCATGGTGTTGCACGGTGTTGCAGGGTGTTACATGGTGTTGCAGGGTGTTGCAGGGTGTTGCAAGGTGTTACAATGCAGGAACTCACCCCCAGGATGTATGTAAATGAGATACAATATTACAATGATAGAAATGCTAATTAGATACAATATTACAGTAATATAAACCCGTATGTTTTTTTTACATTATAATACAATAGTCGCAAACAAGTGATACAAGATGCAAAACCACGGGGGGAGTTGAATGATAGCTCTAGGCCTTTCGTGTTGCACTCAACACGTCTTCAGGAGCTTGCAATGTTGCGGAAATGAGTAGTTAGTCCAGGTAGATTTATTCAAGGGAACAAAGCCCTTGTGGTTTTAGCGCTTAGTTATAATTATATTAATAATTGTTTAATAAGGGAACGACTCTAGGTAGACAGATGATTATTATAATTATAATTAAGAGCTCAAACCCACAACCCCTCAAGGAAGGTTCCTTGATGTTGGTGAGGGGCTCTTGATTTAGGGAATTGGATCTGTGCTCCAGTTCCCCGAATTAAGCCTGTATGCCTTCCACATCCCCCCCCCAGGTGCTGTATAATCCTCCGGGTTTAGCGCTTCCCCTTGATTATAATAATAATAATAAACCCACAAGGGTTATGCTCCCTTGAATCTACCTGGACTTCCTACTCATTTCTCCAACATTGGAAGGTTTTGAAGATGTGTTGATTGCAACATAAAAGGCCCAGAGCTATCATTCAACATTTACTACGATTATTATAATGTATAATAAAGGTCTGGGTGGGCCAGGTGTCGCAGTATAGACGCCATGATAAACCTAAACCGGTTCCTGGTAACTCCTGCCACCACCTAAACCCATTCCCACTCACTACTCAATCACCAATTTCTCCTTTAATAACCTCTCTCACTCACTATTTCTACAAGTATTACCCACACAATTACAATATTCTCCCCGAAGCAGCAATAAAGAAATATAACAGTGACTAATAAAGTAATTTACCTGTGAGGATGACATAGGATTGGATCGCACCTGAGACAATAGACGCCAGAAGTGTCCTCAGCACCGGGTGGAGGTGATGGCTGTCAATAATTCTCGCTGGTGAGTAATATTTGACTCATTTTTTGGACTTTCCCAGCAGTGGGCAGCCGCATCAGTACTGTCTGTCGCACTTTGATGTGTGAGTGTGAGTGTGAGGTGAGTGTGTGAGGTGAGTGTGTGAGGTGACAACAGCCTGTCATGTCTATTTAACTTTATGTTGAATATTTCGACTTGCAAATACTTCATATTTTTTTTGAGTGTGTTGGTATAATGTTGCAGTTGCATGATGCAACATGTTCTGCTGTGTCCTGGGTGTTAATGTCACTTAATAAACTTCAAGTTACTTAAGTTGGTTCCATCTCAATGTTAAAAACACGAATATATTAGTTTTTTTTTTTTTGACTTAATCGAAAATAAAATCAAAATTCTCATTTTTTTTATTTTGAAGATGAAAAAATACGAAATTTAGCTCGAAAATAATATAAAAAACCCACGAACTTTTAATTATATGATAAAAATGTACCCCAGTAGAAGTTTATATTATATAATATATATCACATATGGTCCCCCAGGGGCTCTTGATCCAAGGAACTGAATCTGTGCTCCAGTTCCCTAAGTTAAGCATTATTATTATTAGATTTTTATTAATGCCTTCCATCCCCTAAGGCACTGGATAATCCTTAAGGGTTTAGGGCTCCCTCATGATCCCAGGAGCTGGATCTTTTCATCCCTTGGGTCAACTATAATTCCCCCCCCCCATTTCCCCATATGGGTTTAGCTCTCCTCCCAAGATGCTTAAAATCCCAAAATAACCCAGATTATTAACTCAGGAAGATTAGTAACCCAGGATAATCCAGGATAATTAATCTTAGAAGCCTAATAATGCAGGATAACTAAGATTATTAACTCTGGAAGCTTAACCCAGGATAACCAAAATTATTAACTCTGGAAGCTTAGTAACCCAGGATAACCAAGATTATTAACCCTGGAAGCTTAGTAACCCAGGATAACCAAGATTATTAACCCTGGAAGCTTAGTAACCCAGGATAACCAAAATTATTAACCCTGGAAGCTTAGTAACCCAGGATAACCAAGATTATTAACCCTGGAAGCTTAGTAACCCAGGATAACCAAGATTATTAACCCTGGAAGCTTAGTAACCCAGGATAACCAAAATTATTAACCCTGGAAGCTTAGTAACCCAGGATAACCAAGATTATTAACCCTGGAAGCTTAGTAACCCAGGATAACCAAAATTATTAACCCTGGAAGCTTAGTAACCCAGGATAACCAAGATTATTAACCCTGGAAGCTTAGTAACCCAGGATAACCAAGATTATTAACCCTGGAAGCTTAGTAACCCAGGATAACCAAGATTATTAACCCTGGAAGCTTAGTAACCCAGGATAACCAAGATTATTAACCCTGGAAGCTTAGTAACCCAGGATAACCAAGATTATTAACCCTGGAAGCTTAGTAACCCAGGATAACCAAGACTATTAACCCTGGAAGCTTAGTAACCCAGGATAACCAAGATTATTAACCCTGGAAGCTTAGTAACCCAGGATAACCAAGATTATTAACCCTGGAAGCTTAGTAACCCAGGATAACCAAGATTATTAACCCTGGAAGCTTAGTAACCCAGGATAACCAAAATTATTTAACCCTGGAAGCTTAGTAACCCAGGATAACCAAGATTATTAACCCTGGAAGCTTAGTAACCCAGGATAACCAAGATTATTAACCCTGGAAGCTTAGTAACCCAGGATAACCAAAATTATTAACCCTGGAAGCTTAGTAACCCAGGATAACCAAGATTATTAACCCTGGAAGCTTAGTAACCCAGGATAACCAAAATTATTAATCCTGGAAGCTTAGTAACCCAGGATAATCTGAGACTATTATCCCTGGTGGGTTAATAAAGATTGCAGAAAAATGTCTTAATTCTGCTGATCGTCAGGTCCTCTACCCCAGGATGCCACTCACAGCAGTCATCTAACACCCAGGTACCTACTTACTGCTTGGTGAACAGGTAATATGGTTTGTTTCCCAGCATGGGTGAAACAGGCATGTTACCTCACACCTGCTGTCACTGTTCATGAAGCAATAAGTAGGTACCTGGGTGTTAATTACCTCACACCTGCTGTCACTGTTCATGAAGCAGTAAGTAGGTACCTGGGTGTTAGTTACCTCACACCTGCTGTCACTGTTCATGAAGCAGTAAGTAGGTACCTGGGTGTTAGTTACCTTACACCTGCTGTCACTGTTCATGAAGCAGTAAGTAGGTACCTGTGTGTTAGTTACCTTATGCCTGATGTCACTGTTCATGAAGCAGTAAGTAGGTACCTGGGTGTTAGTTACCTTACGCCTGATGTCACTGTTCATGAAATAGTAAGCAGGTACCTGGGTGTTAGTTACCTTACACCTACTGTCAATGTTCATGAAACAGTAAGTAGGTACCTGGGTGTTAGTTACCTTACACCTGCTGTCACTGTTCACCTAGCAGTAAGTAGATACCTGGGTGTTAGTTACCTTACACCTGCTGTCACTGTTCACCAAGCAGTAAGTAGGTACCTGGGTGTTAGTTACCTTACACCTGCTGTCACTGTTCACCTAGCAGTAAGTAGGTACCTGGGTGTTAGTTACCTTACACCTGCTGTCACTGTTCTACCTAGCAGTAAGTAGGTACCTGGGTGTTAGTTACCTTATACCTGCTGTCACTGTTCACCTAGCAGTAAGTAGGTACCTGGGTGTTAGTTACCTCACACCTGCTGTCACTGTTCACCTAGCAGTAAGTAGGTATCTGGGTGTTAGTTACCTTACACCTGCTGTCACTGTTCACCTAGCAGTAAGTAGGTACCTGGGTGTTAGTTACCTTACACCTGCTGTCATGTTCACTAGCAGTAAGTAGGTACCTGGGTGTTAGTTACCTTAACCTGCTGTCACTGTTCACCTAGCAGTAAGTAGGTACCTGGTGTGTTAGTTACCTTACACCTGCTGTCACTGTTCACCTAGCAGTAAGTAGGTGCCTGGGTGTTAGTCACCTTACACCTGCTGTCACTGTTCACCTAGCAGTAAGTAGGTACCTGGGTGTTAGTTACCTTACACCTGCTGTCACTGTTCACCTAGCAGTAAGTAGGTGCCTGGGTGTTAGTCACCTTACACCTGCTGTCACTGTTCACCTAGCAGTGGAAGTATAAGGACCCCAATGAAAATAAGTCACTGACTACCTTTTTTTTCTGGGGGGGAGATAGGTTATCCTGGTGGATAATCTACACGTGTTATTATATGCTTAACAATTCACAAATCGGCGTAATTATTTACAAACAGTGTCTCTACGTCCACAGCAGGACTCGAACCTGCAAACTCTGTGTCAGAGTCCGCAGTACTTTACCACATAGCCAAACCTCAGAATAAATATGGGTACGGGGTAACATCGTCCTGCTACGGCTAGGCGCCCATACTTATTCTGAGGTCTGGTGCCAGGGTAAAGTACTGTGGACTCTGATACAGAGTTTGCAGGTTCGAGTCCTGCTGTGGACATAGAGACAATGTTTGTTACTATGTAGAATAATTTGTATAGCTGTATTCATGTGTACCTGTACCTAAATAAACTTACTGAAGGCTGGCAGTTTAGTGGTTAAGCAGCCAGAGAACATGTTCACCTCCACCTCGACTACCTCACATTAGTATTAGTCTAGACAAGATAAAAGTTAACCACTCAACTCAATTCAATTCAAGTTTATTCTCTATAAGGGTTACAATGTGGGGTTTACAGGTTTTGGGTATTGTGTGGTTTACATGTTATAAAATACTAATTACAGAGGGGGCCACTAGGACACCTAGCATGGCTAGGCATTTCGAGCAGACTTAGATTAATTCTTAACATTAAATCCTTACAGATTATGGTATTAAGGCTAAGTGACTACATCATAATTTGTGAGTTTAGCAATGTGAATGCTTTTGTTTTGGCACAATACAAAGTGTCTATATTAGAGTATCATAGGCAAACTTATGACTAGTTAGGATTTATTATTTTAAGATTAAGATTAGTATTTCTGGGTTTATAGTCAGTGGGTGGGCGAGTGTAATTGTGAACCACCAGGTGGTTATCATGTAGTTAGTTGACGGGGTGTATCAGGGAGATAAGATGTTTTCTAACTGTAGTTTTGAAAGTGATGAATGTGTCAGCAGTTCTAGAGTTTTCAGGTAGGGTGTTCCAGATTTTAGGTCCTTTGAAATACATTGAATTTTTGTGAAGGTTTAGTCGAACACGGGGAATGTCATAGAGGTGTTTGTGTCTGATGTTATGCTTGTGGATCCTGTCACAACTATCAAGAAAGCATTTTAGGTCAAGGTTAATATTGGAATTTAAGGTCCTGCAGATATAGATTGCACAGTAGTAAATGTGGATGTTCTAAACAGGGAGTAAGTTTAGATCTATGAAGAGTGGGGGGATGTGTTGCCAGGGATGAGATTTAGTGATTATTCTTACTGAGGCTTTTTGTCGGGTTATTATTGGCTTTAGGTGTGTTGCTGCAGTTGAACCCCAAGCACAGATAGCATAGGTGAGCTATGGATATACTATAAGTGAATGGTATAGCGTGAGAAGGACAGTTTGCGGCACGTAGTATCGTATCTTGGAGAGGATCCCCACCGTTTTGGATACTTTTTTTGTTATGTGTTGGATATGGGTGCTGAAATTTAGGTTGTTGTCGAGGTATAGGCCAAGGAATTTGCCCTCGCTATGTCTGGTAATTAGAGTGTTGTTCGTCTTAATTAATGTTAAGTTGCGCAACACCTGCTCTGCTACCAAACATAATAGTATACTAGTAGGTTTTGCCAGTGTTAAGTGTAAGTTTATTGGCTGTCATCCAAGTCGATATTTTGAGCAGCTCCTCGTTAACAATGGTGTTGAGGGTGGCAAGATTAGGGTGGGAGATGACATAAGTCGTGTCGTCAGCAAAGAGAATGGGTTTCAGGTGTTGGGATATGTTTGGAAGATCATTGATGTAAATGAGGAAGAGCAGGGGTCCAAGGACACTTCCCTGCGGAACTCCAGTATCAAGTGGCCGTATTGATGAGGCTGTGTCTTTAATGGTGACATACTGATACCTATTAGAAAGGTAGGATTTAAAATATGCAAGCGCATGGCCTCTTATACCATAATGGTCAAGTTTGGAGTAGGATGCCGTGGTTACGTGTCAAACGCTTTTCTTAGGTCAATAAAAAATTCCTAGTGGATTTTCCCATATATTTCCAATGCTGTGTAAAGCAGGTCTAGCATTTTTAATAATTGCATCATTAGTGCTTTTATTTTTCCTAATCCAAATGGCAGGGGTTGAGTAGTTTTGTGATGTTATTTAAAAGAATAAAATCTCCTGTGCACGAGTTTCTTCAAAGATTTGGATAGCAATGGTAAGTTTTTATATTGGCCTATAGTTGGGTTTTCGTCTTTAGGGTCAACCCCCTTTATGTATTGGTGTAACCCTTGCCATCCCGAGTAGTTTCGGGAAGGTGCTAGTTTCTAGTGACTGTTAAAAAGAATGAGATAGCATGCCCAGAGGACATGTGCGCTCTCTTGTACAAAATGGTGGGGGCATGTGGGCAGATTCCTGAGTATTTTTTAAGGACTTATGATCGCGGTGGGCTTCCGTGGGCTCAGTTGGTACAAGATAGAAGGAATTTGGGAAATTCCATTAGGTAGTCCCCGGCACGGGTATTGGTACATGGGATTTTACTGGCGAGATTAGATCTATGTTTGAGAAGAAGTCGTTATCTTGTTAGCTGTATCAGTGGGATGCGGTGGTGTTTCATTAGGTTTAGTTGAACAATTTTTTTGTTTTTTTTTTCGGGTTTGGGGGGCCCCCAAAACTGGGAAAGTGTTTCCCAAGTTTTTTTTATCTCCTTTTGGTCAGTGAATCTGGGAGTGTACAGTTTTTTGGCTTTCTTTTTTAATTTTGGTAGAATGTTGAATATTGTTTAAGAATATTTTGTGTAAAACCCCTGTCTATATTGTTTCTTTTGGGTTTCTTTCAAGGGGATTTCAAAATGTGCTGGTTAGCCTGGGAAACCCCAAGGTTTATTCGTGTTGTTTAGTTTTTATAGGACAAGTTTGTTGTTATTAAGTATTTTTTTAAGAAAAATCCTGCCCCAATTACACCCCATTGTCTTGGAGAATTCTGTAGGCCATCAACATCTGTGGGGTCTGCTGTAAAAATTCCCTCATCGGGGCCTCGCACGGGTTAAACGAAAGCCCGTTGTTTTCAAACGGTGGTCATAATTTAAGAGGAAGGTTGGGTAGGGCCCCAGTTGGTGTCTGTGATTTTCCCTGATTTAAGGGGGGCTAGTATTTTTGGCCCAAATTTTGGGTTTTTGGTTGCACTTGTTCAGTGAGCCTGGTTGTTTATTTTATTGTTAGTATGAGAAGTGGTTCATATTTTTGATAAAATTTAAAGTTCAGGCGATCATTGTAAGCCAAGGTTGATGTGAAAGCTCCCTGGGTGGGCTTTTTATTTGTTGTTTGTTTTTAGTGATTTTAGATTACTGAATTTTGGGGATTTTTGTGGAGGTTCCGGTAAATGGCACGATTGTTATAGGTGTCTTAGGTTTTTTACAGAAAATAGAAAAAAATGTATTCCCATATTTATCACTAAAGCAAAATGGGCTAAGACAAATAATTGGTTTTGAGAATAGATTGGTACCACCCCCCCTGGTTTGGTCTGCAGTTGTGAATTTTGTGTTTGGTGAGGGTAGATACTTTTTGTCCCCGCTAGCCGGCTAGTAAGAATAAGCGGAGAAAGGGTGTCTTTAGTGATTCAAAAAAGGGCCAGGAGGTCATCATAGTGTTTGCTTAAAGGGCCTAATGTTTAGTTAAGTACTGATAGATTTTAGCATTGTTAGGATGTGGTGGCTTGTGTTTTTGTAAAAAAGGCAGTTTCTTTCCAATAGGTTTTGATTGTGTGTCAGATTATGGAGGTTTAGATCAGGGTCAACTGTCAATCTCTTTTAGGTTTAAATTGGTTATTTTTAACCTGTATTATGTGGTGAGTTGTAATACTGAGTTTCTGTAGTGGTGGGAGGTTTGGACAAGTATATAGCTAAAGCGTTTGGTATAAAATATAGTCACTAATAAAAATAATGAAAATTATTTATTGTCTATGGTTGTGCTGAATTTAGCTAAAAATAAATAGGGATAAATTTATAAAATAAAAAAAAAATTAAAAATGGTATAACTAGATTTAAATTGACAAAATAAAATTCACAAATTTAAGTACCAAAAGAATAATAAGTAAAAAATAACAGTGGCAATGACTTGGTTATAATATGATAGTAAGATGGTAGACAGGTAGACAGGTAGACAGGTACACAGGTACACAGGTGCACAGGTACAAAGGATAATATAAAGGTTGGAGTTGAATATACAAACTTGGAAATTTGGCAACAAAATGTTATGAAAAGTATAAAATAATGATTAATGTACAAAAGTAAAATTGACTGGTAGTAAATATGGTGTTTAATAAAATTTTAGTAAGTAATAATGATTACAAAAAAAGATCAATTAGCAAAAAAAAAGTGAAAAAGTAATGTTTATTTCAAGTATTAAATTTTAAGAACAGTTACTTGGATTCAATGTTGTCTTGTCTAGACTTAAGTAGTTATCATATATACTAGGATTAGTCTGCCTGAAATGCCCTAGCATGATAATGGCTTTCTTTGTACTTAACAAATCTGAATTAACCATATCATAGGTGGGGTTTGAACCCGCAATCAGAGAGTCGCAAAACTCCAGACTGTCGGTCTGGAGTTTTGTGACACTGATTGTGGGTTCAACCCCCACCCGTGGTATGGTTTGTTTGCAATCGTGTCATTACGATTTTGTCAGTCAAATCGGAATTGTAATTACACACTGTAACTTTTGGAAAGAAATAAAATCTTTATTCTTTTTATTCTTTGAATAACTTGTGGAACTTTTATGAGATACATGATTATATACACTTGGAAAATCCTAGAGGGACTGGTACCAAACTTGCACACGAAAAATCACTCTCTACGAAAGCAAAAGACTTGGCAGACAATGCAACATCCCCCCAATGAAAAGCAGGGGTGTCACTAGCACGTTAAGAGACAACACAGTAAGTGTCAGGGTCCCAAGACTGTTCGACTGCCTCCCAGCATACATAAGGGGGCTTACCAATAGACCCCTGGCTGTCTTCAAGCTGGCACTGGACAAGCACATGAAGTCGGTACTTGACCAGCTGAGCTGTGGCTTGTACATTGGATTGCGTGCAGCCAGCAGTAACAGCCTGGTTGATCAGGCCCTGATCCACCATGAGGCCTGGTCACAGATCGGGCCGCGGGGGCGTTGATCCCCGGAACTCTCTCCAGGTAAACTCCAGGTAATATTTATTGTGGAAACGTTTTGCTAGCCAGTGGCTTCTTCAGTCCTATACAGAAAAGAATGGTGGAAGTTGAGGAGGAGAGTGAGGTGGTCAGTCCTTCAGCCTGGAGTCCACTTGTTCAGTCCTACAATCTTGAGAAAAATACAGTATGTGCTCAAAGAAGTGGTTTATTTACTGCAGTCAGATGAGTCATCTGTCAGACACGGCAACATCTGTCAGACACGGCAACATCTGTCAGACACGGCAGCATCTGTCAGACACGGCAGCATCTGTCAGACACGGCAGCATCTGTCAGACATGGCAGCATCTGTCAGACACGGCAGCATCTGTCAGACACGGCAGCATCTGTCAGACACGGCAGCATCTGTCAGACACGGCAGCATCTGTCAGACACGGCAGCATCTGTCAGACACGGCAGCATCTGTCAGACACGGCAGCATCTGTCAGACACGGCAGCATCTGTCAGACACGGCAGCATCTGTCAGACACGGCAGCATCTGTCAGACACGGCAGCATCTGTCAGACACGGCAGCATCTGTCAGACACGGCAGCATCTGTCAGACACGGCAGCATCTGTCAGACACGGCTACATCTGTCAGACACGGCAACATCTGTCAGACATGGCAACATCTTGGGATCTTGATACAGGGAATTATTCTACTCTTGCCTAACCTACAGTCATGGCCCACTTACACTGGTGGATGTGTCCCGTAGTGACTCCATCTCCTCCTGCTTCTACTTACCTGACTGCAGTATGTAAGCCACTTCTCTCAGCATATGCTGTACTTTTATCAAGATTTGTGGACTGCACACATTGACTCCAGACTGAGGGACTGATTATCTCAAACTCCTCCTCATCTTCCACCGTTCTTTGAATTGGACTGAAGAAGTCACTGGCTGATGAAACGTTTTCTCAATAAAGATTCTGAAATGTTGCACAAGTGTCTCATTCTTTAGCTTGTCTGTTTTCTAAACTACAGTGGTACCTTGAGTTACGAGCAGCTCCCAACTCGAGCAATCATGTAAGTGTATTTTTGTAAGTGCTTTTGTAAGTGTATTTTTGGGGGGTCTGAAACTGACTAATCTAATTTACATTATTCCCTACGGGAACAAATTTGTTTGGTATCAGCACTCGAACAGCCTACTGGAACAAATTAAGCTTTGTAACTCAAGGTACAGTACCACAGTATTTACATCACATGTTCACATTTGCACACACTTCACTCATGGTGGAATGATAGGTTGACGTACTAGTGGTGTTACGTATTTAAACCAAAACTACAGTATACATTATGTTTCAGATGTATATAGCAAGTAAGTGGTAGTGAGTCTTGGTGGTGCATCCATCAAGCAGCTGACAGGGATGGACCACAGTAGTATCTATAACAACAAGTCATATAAACAGAAAAAAAAGGGAAAGCCTCCACCGCCTCCTGGCTCAGAATCGGTAAGATGTGCTTTTAATTTTCGCACATTACTGTATTTTCTGGCATATAAGGCTGCTTGCTGTCACTATGTTTCTAAGCAGTTATAATGAAACGTTAGTAAATGACTACTAAATTGTAACACAAAGCTGCCTACCCTTGACACTGACCTGGATCATATAAGACACAGGCTGATTTTCCAAGACTTTTTTTTTTTTTTTTTTTTTTTTTTTTTTTTTTTTTTTTTTTTTTTTTTTTTGAAAGGAACATGCCTTATATGCCAGAAACTGCAGTAATAAGAAGACATCTGTTTTATTAAAATCCAAGGGTATATACTCTGAGAGTTATGTCTTTGTGTATTAATGTGCTGAGAGTTTAATCCCTATTTTAAGTATTTAGCTATTTGAGATAAGACGTTGAAGTTCGTCCTGTAGTTTAGTAGAGTGAATCTGTGAATTAAGGCAAATAGTGACAAAAGCAATGGTAGTAAGAAGGTTAAAGAGATCTTGTGAGAGGGAAGAAAGAGAGCACATCAATGTTGATGGAGAATATAGAAGGCATCATCAACTTGAGACCTAGTAGAAAATATTAGCTGTTGAAGTAAGAGGTGGGCATTATCAGGAAAGGGAGTGCCCAAGGAGTTGAATTTGAGGAATTGGGAGAAGGAAGAGGTCAAAGCTTGCTCAGCAAGACAAATTAGATTTTTTAGATTTTGTCACCGAACTGGCTAGTTTATTGTGCACCCCATATCCATCCTGTGGACGGTAGCAAGACAGACATGTTGAAAGTAAAGTTGATTCTCACGACGCCTGGAAACAATGAGAGCAGCCTTATAAGAACGAAAAGTAATTTAAAAGAGGGAAGAACATTAAAAAAAAAAGTTGGAAAGAATAAGATGCTTACCTGTGCAGTCCATAATGAACAAAAAGGCACAATACCGTGAATGGAACAATATACAAATAACCCGCACATAGAAGACAGAAGCTTTCGACTGTTTCTGTCCATCTTGGACCATTTATAAAGTCACACTAACATGAAATATAGAGGGAGCCAGCATCTATAGGCGAGCAGACAGGGACAGGACCAAGAGAGGAAGTAGCGGTAGAAGTAAGGCTGGAAATGGAGGAAGCAGTAGTAGTGGTTTATGTGGGACAAGATACAGAAAGGTGGAGCGAAGGGTGAGGGAGGCAGAGGAGCACAAATGAAGTGTGAGGCTTGTTGACACCAATAATGCTCTTTTTTTGTCATATTAGAGATCATAGTCATCTTATTGACTGGTCCTCTGCTAGAACTGTTTTCCCTACTTCTAACTTTCACAGTCACTATCTTGTTGAATCATTCCCTAATTCACAACTTTCTTGTATGAATCTTAGTTGTGGCTTTGTCTCTGGAGATGCCTTCATTTCTCATTACATTATCAAATATGCTCTAAACTCCACAACACACAAGGCTTAATTAACATGATAATTTCTTCTTCCCCCTCTCTGCCTTTTCTTCTTTCATATTTTTCGTTTCTCTTTGTTTTTCCTTTATTTCTCCCCCCCCCCTGGGAGGTTCCTTGATGCTGGTGAAGGTCTCTTGATCTAGGGAATTGGATCTGTGCTCCAGTTCCCTGAATTGAGCCTGAATACCTTCCATCCCCCCCCACCCCAGGTGCTGTAAAATCCCTACAGGTTTAGTGCTTCCCATGATTTAATAATTCCTTTTTTTTTCCTTTCTTCTGCCTTAGGGTGTCCTGTCCTTCAGTTCTCCCTCCCCCCTGACCCTGTGTTTTTGGTTCTACCCCTTGTGGGCCCTTAGCTCTCCTGCAGTACTCTACTTTTTCTCCTTTAACTGATCCCACTACTACTGTTACCTTTCCTACTACTATTTCCATTACTTTTGTCTCCCTCCACCCTTCACTCCGATGAGAGTAAGACACATGTGCAACATCTGGGTATCTTTATTGTAGACGTTTCGCCATCCAGTGGCTTTATCAATACAAATTCTAGGACATAACTTGAAGACAGTAGAACTATGTACAGAAGATGAGGTAATCAGTCCCTCAACCTAGGAGTAGGTGCGAACAGCACCATAGTCGTGGAGATTCTGAAGCAGAAGAAAGAATCCTGGCGCTTATATAGTAACGTCAGGTGAAGCAGACGAGGGCAAATTCACTGGTAGGCGGGATTCCCCAGTGGAAGTAGGTCCTTCCCAAAGAGATGGGTTAGTTGTAGTAGTAGTGTCGTAGTTGTGAAGGTTATGTACATGTCCTCAGAATTAAGATTCCATGATGTTGCAGTGTCTGACAAGTTGTGTACGAATGGTATATAATACCGACAAGATGAGAGTAAGACACATGTGCAACATCTGGGTATCTTTATTGTAGACGTTTCGCCATCCAGTGGCTTTATCAATACAAATTCTAGGACATAACTTGAAGACAGTAGAACTATGTACAGAAGATGAGGTAATCAGTCCCTCAACCTAGGAGTAGGTGCGAACAGCACCATAGTCGTGGAGATTCTGAAGCAGAAGAAAGAATCCTGGCGCTTATATAGTAACGTCAGGTGAAGCAGACGAGGGCAAATTCACTGGTAGGCGGGATTCCCCAGTGGAAGTAGGTCCTTCCCAAAGAGATGGGTTAGTTGTAGTAGTAGTGTCGTAGTTGTGAAGGTTATGTACATGTCCTCAGAATTAAGATTCCATGATGTTGCAGTGTCTGACAAGTTGTGTACGAATGGTATATAATACCGACAAGATGAGAGTAAGACACATGTGCAACATCTGGGTATCTTTATTGTAGACGTTTCGCCATCCAGTGGCTTTATCAATACAAATTCTAGGACATAACTTGAAGACAGTAGAACTATGTACAGAAGATGAGGTAATCAGTCCCTCAACCTAGGAGTAGGTGCGAACAGCACCATAGTCGTGGAGATTCTGAAGCAGAAGAAAGAATCCTGGCGCTTATATAGTAACGTCAGGTGAAGCAGACGAGGGCAAATTCACTGGTAGGCGGGATTCCCCAGTGGAAGTAGGTCCTTCCCAAAGAGATGGGTTAGTTGTAGTAGTAGTGTCGTAGTTGTGAAGGTTATGTACATGTCCTCAGAATTAAGATTCCATGATGTTGCAGTGTCTGACAAGTTGTGTACGAATGGTATATAATACCGACAAGATGAGAGTAAGACACATGTGCAACATCTGGGTATCTTTATTGTAGACGTTTCGCCATCCAGTGGCTTTATCAATACAAATTCTAGGACATAACTTGAAGACAGTAGAACTATGTACAGAAGATGAGGTAATCAGTCCCTCAACCTAGGAGTAGGTGCGAACAGCACCTACTCCTAGGTTGAGGGACTGATTACCTCATCTTCTGTACATAGTTCTACTGTCTTCAAGTTATGTCCTAGAATTTGTATTGATAAAGCCACTGGATGGCGAAACGTCTACAATAAAGATACCCAGATGTTGCACATGTGTCTTACTCTCATCTTGTCGGTATTATATACCATTCGTACACACCCTTCACTCCCCCTTACTATATCTTATCCCACATAAACCACTCTCCCTACTTTATAGTACTACTGCCTCCATTTCCAGCCTTGCTTCTACTGCTACTTCCTCTCTTGGTCCTGTCCCTGTCTGCTCGCCTGCATATACTGGCTCTGTCTTTTCTGTTAGTGTGACTTTGTTAATGGTCCAAAATGGACTGAAACGTCATCAAAAGCTTCTCTCTCCTATGTTTGTGGTTATTTACGTATTGTTCCAGTCACTGTTGTCCAAGTCCATTTATATTGGGGAGTTTATAAGTTGGTGACTTCCTGTTATATATTATCCTGTGAATACACCAGCCATTGCAACTTTTAACAAATCTCTTGATACCAAAACATTTACATTCTTTAAATGTAGGAGAAATTGTTCAGATTAAAAACTTGAGAGGCTAATAACCCAGGGTGACCTAAGAAAGCGAATCATTGTGGCATATTTCCCTTGGATCTTTGTGTTCTTCCCAGGATGTGACGCACAATACTAGCTGGCTAACTTTCTGATACTATATATATCTAGGAGTAGCATGAGGGCCCTGCATATACACTGCTTATTTTTGGTGCTCCATGTTTTCATTGGCATTCAGTTGAGCCATTGTTCCATAATGAAAAATGATTGATAATGAAAAATGACTGATAATGAAAATGACTAAATTTGAAGCCAAGAAAAATGTGGGACACCAAAAAAGTGCTGTATATGCAGGGTCTCTCCTGTACTAGGAAACTTGCCTTGCCCAGGATTGAACTGGGGTTTTTTGGTTTTGGGTTGAAAGTTGTACCATAATGAGCTTCAAGGTATCTTCAGACAATGGTTACACTATTTCTTTGCATAGTATATAAACTGTAGTATACATGTAATAAAATATTGTTAAGTACAAAAGTCACTAACATTAGGTGCATTTTGGACTGAATATTCCTAATGCTGACTGACTACTAAAACTAGACATATGTATAGAGTGATATGTACGTATTCATTATTAACCCATAAACGGTCCAAGCAGATCTACGTTCACATGTGTAGTGCTACAAAAGTAGATCTACGTTTTTTTTACACATTTTCAAATGTAAAAAAACAAAAATAAGATCTACTTTTTTTACATACTTTCAAATGTTGAAAAAACGTATATATGCGTTTTTACCGTTTACGGGTTAATAAGTAAAATATTTAACATGCAGTATACTGTTAATATGTTAACATATTAGAGGTAATTAATGGTAAATAGTTAAAGAATAAAAAGACACACTGAAGTGACTGGAACAGTACACACACAATTAAGATTTCTTGTGTTTCAGGACCAGAGTATCGACACCAACAGCCTATCTGCCGAATCTCAAGATGCAGGTCGATCCCCTAATAGCTCCCACAAGACAAGTGAGTGTTAGTCTTAGTAATCCTTGGTTATTAAGAAATGAAAGGTACTGAGTCGACCAACCCTTGTACAGGCACTCCATACTTAATGACCGAGTTCTGCTCTGCATTCACTTTTGAGAACTACTTCTGTACTTTTACCGATGTTTCCTCCTCCTCTTCTTCCAAGTTCTTCCGCACTTTCAAATCTATTAAATCTTCATTAGTTAGCTCTCCCTTGACCACTGTTCTCATACAGCATTCAGTACTGACTGGTCGGAGAGCTGATTGTAAGTCCGCATAGTCGTTTAACAGGCAGGACGTTCAGTGAGGAGTGTATTGTTGTTTACTCCATCTCAAAAAATTTAAACATCATCTGCCACAAAAATGAAATGTTGCTACATTAATTGCATCTGTGTCCTTTTAACTAATATTTTGTTGGTAATTCTACCATTACTACTCTTCTGCAGACAGTTTTTCATCCTTCTCTTCTAACCATTCCTTTACATCATCATCATCGTGCATATCTACAAACACCTCATATTTCATGCTTCTTGCCAGAGTCAATTTCCTGAACCTGATTATTTACTGAAGTAAAATTAGAAAAAAAATATTCATTACAGAAGGTTATGATTTATCCCAGCCTGCATCCAAGGTAGATTGGGGCACTTCATCCCTTAACACCTTCATGTGCTTAAGTGCATCTGCAATGTTAAATTTACCTCAGAACTCTGGTACTCAAGAGTCTGAGCTGGTCTCTGTTCATGCAGTTTTTCTATTAACTTGCATGTGGCTGTGTCACAAACATCATATTGGGTGATAAAAAAAAAACCTGACACTGAGTCCACAGACTGCAAGACTGGAGGATGTAATAATGTTGGTAGAATTACTGACAATATGTTCTGTAAAAGGACATGTGTACAACCAATGTGACATTCCCTTGTGACAATGTTTGACTCTCCAGGAGCTTTGTCAAGCTGCAACAGCTTGATATAGCTCCTGAAGAGCAAAACGTTGTCACAGTAAAAATGTTGCATTAGTTGCACATGTCCTTTTTACTTAACAGACTCTAGGATGACTATGGGAATTTTCAAGAGTGAAGTGATGTCATGAATGCAAGGTTCTTACTAGCCAGGTAGATTTTTGACTATAGGAATAAAATAATTCTTGAAACATTCACCAAACTTGGCCTCAGTTATCCATGCTTCCTTGGAAGACTACCAGATTGCAGGCAGATGGATTTGTTTTAACTTTGTGAAACACAGGGAGTCTTCATGCAATAAATTAGCATAGGGTTTCCTTGAAATTATTTATTGCATTTGTGCATAAAACCAAGCTGAGGTGATGCTTTGGTGCCTTAACGCCAGGTGTGCAAATAAATTTTTCTTGCTTGCTAATGCAAGTCCTTCCGACATAGCTTTGTCTTCTTTGTTTTTATCGACACATTGGCCAATTCCAACCAAGGCAGGGTGACCCGAAAAAGAAACACTTTCATTATCGCCCACTCCGTCACTGTCTTGACAAAGGCATGCCAGTACTACAGTTCGACAACTTTAATATATTTCCACCCCTCCTTCAGAGCGCAACACTTCTCACCTCCAGGACTCAAGTTCGGCCATGTCGGTTTCCCTGAATCCCTTCATAAATGTTACTTCGCTCACACTCCAACAGCACTTCGTCATAAAAACCATGTTTACTGGAAGTCCAAGCCCCTTGCACACAAAACCTGTTTTACCCTCTCCCTCTAATCTTTCCTATGATGACCCCTATCCTGCCTTTTTTCCACTACAGTTTTATATACCCTCCAAGTCGTTCTATTTCGTTCCATCCCCTCTAAACGTCCGAACCACCTCAACCCTTCCTCAGCCCTCAGGATATTACTTTTAAAAACCCCTCATCTCCTCCTAATCTCCAAGCTACGGTTTCTCTGCAAAATATTCACACCACACATTGTCCTCCAATACGACATCACTGTGTCCAACCTTCTAGTTGTTGCAGCACTCGCCACCCATGCTTCACTCCCATATAAGAGCATTGGTACCACTATACTCTCATACATTCCCCTCTTTGCTTCCATGGATGACATTCTTTATCTCCACAGATTCCTCAGTGCACCATTCACCTTTTTACCCCTCATCTCCACAGATTCCTCAGTGCACCACTCACCTTTTTACCCCTCATAAATTTTATGGTTGACCTTGTCTTTCAGCAGGGGACTTTTCACAGTCAGGTGGTCCCATGACATGCTGCTCTCACCACTAAACCTATTGTTGTTATTATTATAGCACCTTTTAACATTTTCAGGCTATTCTTCCTGACACACACTTCTATAGTTGGATAGGACTTTGTGTCTTATAATTTAGGCAGCTTTGCTTGTTTTCTCCTCAGCCTACACATTCATTGACAGCTGTTTTGACCTTTTTGTTGTTATTTTCAGCAGCTGACTATCAGCAATAGTCATTGCTCAAGCTCTATATTTTCTTCTCAGTGTCTCTTAATTGTACAAATGGACGATTCAGAGCAAAAGAGTGAAAAGTTTCCATCGTATGTGAGCCACTGCACATAATGTCTGAAGCTCTCTTTTTTGGATACTCAAAGATTCATGCTTATTTTATTCTTTGCTCATTAGCATTCCTCTTGAGTACCATGGTTAATAGCCTGAGATGAAATGGGATGACTAAAAGATGCAAAAATTTTTATGAATGGTTGTAGTGGCACATACAACCCTTCCAGGCTACAACTGTAAGTAGTGTGGATGGCAGTGCAGGATGGAGGAACTGTTCCTCCCTTGTTAGGTAAGACACATATGCAACAGTTAGGTATCTTTATTTCGAAACGTTTCGCCTACACAGTAGGCTTCTTCAGTCGAGTACAGAAAAGTTGATAGAAGCAGAAGAGACTTGAAGACGATGTAATCAGTCCATCACCCTTAAAGTTTTGAGGTGGCCAGTCCCTCAGTCTGGAGAAGAGCATTGTTCCAAAGTCTGACCTAACTGTTGCATATGTGTCTTGCCTAACAACCTGTCGGTATTTTATACCATTTTAATGTTCCTCCCTTAACACTCAACTTATAGACCCAGTGGGTTGGGAGAGGAAAACCTACTTCATGTACCACCTCAAATTATGAGTGTAAATTAGTCTTCCCATGCTGGAGGCAGTGGAGGTGTAGTATCTGAGGACAATGTGTGTGATGTGAATATTATGCAGAGAATCCGTAGCTTGGAGATTAGGAGGAGATGCGCGGTTTCTAAAGTATTTCCCTGAGGGCTAATGAAGGGTTAAGGTGGTTTGAATGTTTAGAGGGAATGGAACAAAATAGTTTTTTTGGCTACAGTTTTTTCATTGGTATTTAAACAAGATTGTGTAGGCAGGACTTGGCACAGTCAGTAGTTTACTTTTTTTAGATTAGTTTTTCATAACTTTTAGAGGATGCTGGTGTGCCATCAAAGATCAGATCTGCTTAAGACACCTCAGCTCTCATAATGAGTTGATACCTTTACCCAATGCACTTAATTTACAGTATGACTGTGAATGGAATTTTGTGTGGGTTCCTTCACTGAACAAACTCCAAGGTATGTAGGCTAGAGGCTAGACTGTACAGCGCTAAGCATTTAAGAGAGAAAGATGGCAACAGTTCTAGCTTCCTGCCATTTCTCACACTGTTTAGAACTGGGATTTTTATAGCTCTAAGAATATTGGCAGTTTGGAGGGATACGTTGTGTATCTTTATACATATATGCTTCTAAGCTGTTGTGTTCTGAGCACCTCTGCAAAAACAGTGATTATGTGCGAGTGAGGTGAAAGAGTTGAGTGCTGATGAAAGTATTTTTTTGGGGGGATTTTCTTTCTTTTTGGGTCACCCTGCCTCGGTGGGAGATGGCTGATTTGTTGAAAAAAAAAAAATTGATTCTGTAACAAGGAGAATTGGTAAGGGATCTCTGTAAAATCTCCAATAACAGATGGCACATCTCATCAAATTATTATCTTTGATAGATACAGCTGTTTAGAGAAGCATACATTCTGTTTAAATGGCCATCTAAATTGTTATATCATGCCTCTGGCAAGACAGTGATAGTGTGAATGATGGTGAAAGTGTATTTTTTCTGGGTCACCCTGCCTCGGTGGGAGATGGCTAGTGTGTTAAAAAAAAGCTACCGTTTATATATATATAGATATTCACATACACATGCAGTATAATGTTATTTATAATGTTGCAGGAAGCAAGAAAGGTGAATGGGAAATTCTTGAGGGTCTCAAAGAAGGACAGAGGTTTGACCTGGTCCCACGAAAATTTGAAGGCTTCCTACTTAAACGTCGCAAGTGGCCTCTCAAAGGATGGCACAAGGTAAGGGATTTGTAACTTGCATAATACAGCTTCTCCTCACCTAACGACGGAGTTCCATTCCTAAGACCACGTTTGTAAAAAAATTTGTTGCTAAGCCAGTGATGATCCTTTTCAAATCACTTGTTCTCTCTAGGCTGGAATACTGCTGTACGTTAACATCTCCATTCAAAGCAGGTGAAATTGCAGATCTAGAGAGTGTACAGAGATCCTTTACTGCATGTATAAGTTCTGTCAAGCACCTTAACTACTGGGAACACTTGGAAGCACTTGACCTTGTACTCGTTGGAATGCAGGAGAGAGAGATATATCATAATCTACACTTGGAAAAGCCTGGAAGAAATGGTCCCGAATCTGCACACAGAAATCACTCCCTGTGAAAGTAAAAGACTGGGCAGGCGATGCAAAATACCCCTAATTAAAAGTAGGGGCGCCATTGGTACACTAAGAGAAAACACCATAAGTGTCCAGGGCCCAAGACTGTTCAGCAGCCTCCCATCAAGCATTAGGGGAATTACCAATAAACCCCTGGCTGCCTTCAAGAGAGAGCTGGACAGATACCTAAAGTCAGTGCCAGATCAGCCGGGCTGTGGCTCGTACGTTGGACTGCATGCGGCCAGCAGTAACAGCCTGGTTGATCAGGCCCTGATCCACCGGGAGGCCTGGTCATGGACCGGGCCGCGGGGGCATTGATCCCCGGAATAACCTCCAGGTAACCTCCAGGTAAGCAAGGAGCAGACTATAATGGTAGTGGGTTTCTGTCAACCATCTTTGATATTGTTTTTATGTCACATTTGCACCATTTATAACGTTTTTCGTATTTTTAAATGTTTATACAGTAGTGTACTGCATATGTATTATAATAAACAATAGAGGAAATAGCTCTAACATACATTGTTTAGCTAAGCATGTTGGTCAGAACTGGTCATAAATCAGACTTGTCTTGTCGCTACTGAGTACGTCGCTAAGTGAGGAGAGGCTGTACTGTAGTTTGTGTTGGCAGGTAAAAAAATAAATTTGTCTGATTCCAACCTTTTTTTTTTTTTCCAACGAACCTGCCACATCCCACCAAGGCAGGGTGACTTAAGAAGAAAAATGAAAGTTTCTCTTTTTAAAATTAGTAATGTATACAGGAGAAGGGGTTACTAGCACCTTGCTCTCGGCATTTTAGTCGCCTCTTACGACACGTGACTTACACAGGAAGGATTCTGTTCCACTAACCCCATGGAGTTTTTTTTTGGGTATTCTAGGTAATTTACACTATGTATGATTATTGTTCAAACCACCGATGGTAACCAAACCATACCACGGGTAGGGTTTGATCCCACGGTCAGAGTGTCTCAAAACTCCAGACCGTCGCGTTAGACTCTCTGACCGCGGGATCCAACCCCACCCTTGGTATGGTTTGTTTGCAATTGTGTCAGTACGATTTAGTGATATTTTTCTGATGAGATTTTTCTGAAGGCCCAATCAATTTAATACACTTTAAGCTATTTTATCTGATTCTGCCTTCATATTAAAATGAATTTGAAAGCAACTAGACTACTAGAGGATATTAAAAAAAATATGGGCATACTCTTCCTTTGGGTTGGGTTCATATGGTGAATTTTTTATCAAATGAAAGAATTTTTTATTTAATTTGGGGTAGGTTTATATAATGTTGTCATACAAATCTGTCAGGAAATGTCTTTTTATAATGTCCATTTATATATGGGTTTGAGCAAACCAACTGTTGGTCTGTGCTTAAAATATGTTTGCAAGATTTTCAATGTTCGGGCCTTTATAGTCCATAACCCTTTTAGGTGGGTGCCATAGTACTACAGCTTTGAGCTCTTAGTCGGTGTTGCAAGTAAGTTTATTCAGGTACAGGTACACATAAATGCAGTTACATACATTATCATACCTAGCAGCATAAGTGTAGATTACCTAGGATAACCCAAGAAAGTCAAAGTGACTTATTGCCATTGGGTCCGTAATACTGTGTGTTGAGCTCGACTCACTCACATAAGCTGTGAGTGATAAATTTGGGCATAGATATGAGAGAATAGGTCTGTGTGGTAAGTGTGCACATTGTAAAATGAATCCTGCAGCAAGCAGTGCGCAGTGGGGAAAAAAAGAAACCTGCGACTGTGTTTTTGGTTCAAAACAGTGAATTTGTGGTGTATTTTCGTATGGTTTTTACAGTTGTATTCTCAGTTTCCTGTTCGCATTTGATAGAATGGAGGATATGTTACAGAAATAGAGATGATTATGATTGGTTTCAGAACTGAAAGTAGTTTGAAATTGGGTTTAAAGTAGCAGAAATGTCCAAATTTTGCCAATACAGTGGTCCCTCGTTTATCGTAATTAATCTGTTCCTGGAGGCGTTACTATTATCGAAATCTACGATTTTCGAATAAATTTTCCCCATAAGAAATAACGTAAATACAATTAATCCGTTCCTGACTCCCAGAAGTACTAAAACAAAAAAATTTTTACATGAAATATAGATGTAGTACATAAACAATACAATGGGACGTGATGAATGAAACATTGACAACGTAACACTTACCTTTATTGGCGATTCTTCTTAGTGTATGGAAGACTGGAGGAGGAGACAGATTGGATTAGTTACTGTTTGGAAGGGGAATCCCCTTCCATCAACACCTCAGGTACCAAGTGCTTTTCTGGGGTTGCTTCTCTTCTCTGTTTCTTAATGCCACTAGGACCAGCTTGAGAGTGACTGGAGTCCTGTCTCACAAAATAAATGTCCAGAGAGCTCTGTTTCTGGCGTCTCTTTAACACTTCCCTAAAATGGGCCAAGACTTTGTCATTGTACATGTTGCCAACATGGCTTGCAACAGCCTTGTCAGGGTGATGTTTCTCCAAAAATCTTTCCATCTTACCCCACATTTCAAAAATCTCCCTAATTTCTGAAGAAGGCAACTTCTTACATCTCTCTTCCTCCTCCTCTGCAGCAAGATTCTGAGCTGCGATCTGTTCCTGTTCCTGCTGAAGCTCTTGCAGCTCCTCAGTGGTGAGCTCTTCGTTGTGGTCCTCCACCAACTCTTCCACATCCTCCAAACTCACATCCAACCCCATGGAACTCCCCAGTGCCACAATAGATTTAACAACTGACATAGGCTCATCAGGGTCAGCCCCAAAAGCTTCAAAATCCCTCTTGTGGACACAATCTGGCCTCAATTTTCTCCAAGCAGAGTTCAAAGTCCTGGTAGTCAGTCCCTCCCAAGCCGTACCTATAAGGGTTAGGCAATGGAGGATGTTGAAGTGTTCTCTCCAAAAATCTCTTAGGGTCAAGTGAGTGTCTGAGGTCACATTCAAGCACCTTTGAAACATTGCTTTGGTGTAGTTTTTTTTTAAAGTTTGCAATGACCTGCTGGTCCATAGGCTGGAGGAGAGGAGTGGTATTCGGAGGCAAGAACTTTACTGTGATGAACCCAAACTCCTCGAAAATTAGGTCATCCAAGTTTGGAGGATGAGCAAGTGCATTGTCCATTACTAGGAGGCACTTGAGATCCAATTTCTTTTCCAGGAGGTAATTCTTCACACTAGGGCCAAACACTTCATTGAACCACTCGACAAAAATGTCCCTCGTGACCCATGCCCTACTATTAAATTTCCAAAACACACACAATTTACTCTTCATAACATTGTTTTTCCTGAACGCTGGGATTTTCAGAATGGTACAATAGTAACGACTTCACTTTGAAATCCCCACTAGCATTAGTACAGAACATGAACGTCAGCCTGTCTTTCATAGGCTTGTGTCCTGGTAGTGCCTTTTTCTCCTGTGTAATGAAGGTCCTCTTTGGCATTTTCTTCCAAAAGAGGCCTGTTTCATCACAATTGAACACTTGTTCAGGTTTCAGTCCTTCAGCCTCTATGTACTCCTTGAATTCATGCACATATTTTTCAGCTGCTTTGTGGTCCAAACTGGCAGCCTCACCATGCCTTACCACACTGTGTATGCCACTACGGTTCTTAAATCTCTCAAACCAACCTTTGCTGGCCTTAAATTCACTCACATCACTATTTGCAGGCAATTTCCTTACCAGATCGTCGTGCAACTGCCTAGCAGTTTCACAAATAATTGATGTCATAATACTATCTCCTGCTATTTGTTTCTTGTTTATCCACACTTTCCTTTTTCTTGGCCACGATGGATTTGTTATACATGATGGGGTTTGTTATACATCCTGGCCAGTTCGGCCACACTTACGCCACTTTCATATTGTTCAATGATGTTTTTCTTAAATTCAATCGTATTTCTCACCTTCTTTACTAAAGGCTTGGCACTAGGAGCTTTCTTTGGAGCCATGGTAGCTTATTTAGTACTTGCAAGCACTGAAATGAATGGAATATTATGTAATAAGTATTTCATAGGAGGTGAGGGGACCTTCGCTCACTGGTAAACAATGCCACACTGGCTGGGTAGGGAGGCCGCCCCGGCTCACAGCGTGCGTACACGTCCCGGACAAACTACTATTCGTGAGTCAATCTACGATTAGCGAGCCCATGTTTTTACGAAAATACCGCTATGATTTCCGAAATTTACAACTCTCGAGCCCAACGATTATCGAGGGTCCACTGTATTCCAGAGTACACAAATTGTCACTCATGCAATATGTGTCCAGCTGGTCAGTCTAATAAATGTTTTACAAGTATGTTTTACTTTTTTTATACAATTACAGTGGTTTCCCTTTAGTTTTGAAAAGTTCCTTGAACAGTTATGTAAGAGCTTTTTTTAAGTGTAAATTTTTTGGGGGGCTGACCCCTATACTACTCATCACTAGACACTATACTAAACTCACCCTCCAAATTTACAAATTTTACTTCCCCCTCACCATCACTTGGGCCTATACTTTCACTCTCACTGGGGCCTGGTGGTTAACGCTCTTTCTTCACAGGTCAGGGCCTGGGTTTTGTTTCCCGCCCCGAGTTTGAAAAATTGGAAAGTGTTTCTTTCACCTGTGTCTATGTTCCCACAGTAAAATGGGTAAATG